GGGGGATGGAAACCACTCTCATTCACTTAAGTATTTTCAGTAGGCGTGGCTGGAACCGGGGGTTGTAAAGACTGAAGAAGACGTTTCATCTCTGCCATCTCTGAAGAGAGAGTAGCCACTGTCTTCGATAGTGAATTTTCTGTCCTCGGTAGAGATTTCTTCTTGGTCGGTGGAGCACCAGCAGCCGCTGATGTGTGACATATTTGAGCGTGTTGTGGCGCTAAATACAGTTGTGTGAGGCTAGCAGACAAGTTAGGATCTAACTCTGCAAGACGAAGCTGTCTTTCTGACACCGGTACAATACAAACATGGATCAGTCAACGCTTCTTTCAGAAGCTGAATACCTAAACACGACGGGCAGCGATCATGTCCATCATCGGGAAGAAGTGTGTTCGGCACAGTTTGCAGCTCAGTGAAGAAACTGAGATATGAGAGCTGTGAGCCATGACTCCGTCAAAAACACGTCCTCGGTAGCACCGTAGGACGCAAAAAACTGATGATAACACTCGCACAGAAAAATTAGGCGTTGATTAAATCTTTGGGTGGAACCGAAAGAGTTATAATGTGAGAAGAGTCACACGTAGATTATCAAAACTGCCTCCGGATAGTACCGTGAAGCCCAAGGTATCGCTGACACAACAATCAAATATAATAATGTGTACTCACGTAATGAAGAAAGAGAATACAAAACATCCACCCTGATGATAGTGCAGAACGCGTTGTTACACCTTGGGTGGGCGAATCCTCGCAACTCAGGTAAGATGCATGGGACAGGGCGAATCAACGACCTATCATAAGTGAGAAAGCGAAAGAGGCTGGGCTTCGAGCTGATGTGGTTTATATCCTTGCATCTTGGTCTACGTCATGACGTGACTCTGTTGGTATTTTTTCTCAACCTATCTAGCAGCCGCAGCGATTATCCTCTAGTGCTTAGCACCGCCTCTGGCGGTCAGGAGGAATGAAACAGAACTTATTTGCTTTTACATTTATAGTTATTTTGCTAGTCATCTCCTGCCGCGATGTCATTCATTGTATGCGCAAATTCAAAGCGCCATATCTGGGCGCATCAACGGCACTCGCGCTCTTGCTCTTTAAACTCATAATAAAACGATGAAAGATCTGTCCAGAAATTACAATGATTGACAGAACAATTTTATATTTAGATTACATTGCAATCATTCCAAAATAGATGACGACAACTCACCCATGCATTAGGAGCTGTACTTCTTTGCATTCCTATTTAGGGCCAGGTTTACAAACAGCTTGCCTTGCGCCAGCACAAACCATCTTTAAGCGTTAAAATAGTACTGTCAGGATTTACTAAAGCTGTGCAGTGAAGAAGTAGCGCTGAAAAGGCATGGGCACAGTTATTTTTGCGCCTGACCTCATCGAATATGCATTTGTAGGAGTTTCTCTTTCAGATGCAAAATTTGTGGGAGGAGTGTATTGAAATGGTTATGGAGGCCCCGCCTCAAAGCCCGGCCCTCCAGAAATTGAGTTTGACACCCTGCCCTAGGTCAGGGGTAGGCAAGTTCGGTCCTAGAGAGCCGCAGTCCTGCAGAGTTCAGCTCCAACCCTAATCAAACACACCTGAACAAGCTAATCAATGTCTTCAGGATTACTAAGGCTATAGGCAGGTGAGTTTTTTTTCAGGGTTGGAGCTGAACTCTGCAGGACTGCAGCTCTCTAGGACCAAACTTGCCTACCCCTGCCCTAGGTGATCAGTTAAAGCAACTTTTTTTTTCTTCTAAATATCCTGTCAAGATGCAACAAACAGTTTTACTTCTCTTAAAATATATATATATATTGCAGACAGGTTGAATGTTGCCTCTATGTATTTTCATTTACAGTATTTATCAGATGTTCTTAACCAAAGCAAATAACTAAATAGCTTTAGACCGTGCTGGGTAGTAAATGATTACAAGTAATCTGGATTATGTAATCATATTCCAAAAATTAAGTACATTTAGTATATTGCATTTTAAAATGCTCATAATCAGATTACAGTTACATCTGGGTTATATTACATATTTAAATGACATAGCCCTATTATTCACACAATTGCAATATTTCGTATTTTTATATATTCATATTTTACAAATTATTCATACTTTATTGATTCTCCCAAATTCTTTTTTTTTCTCTCTATGAATTTTTTTCTTCTAAAAATCTTACTTGTCATACTGTGTGCCATTTAGCTTTAACTATATTCACAAATGTCATGTAAATAAATTTGCAGACCATGGTCAATTTTGGGGGTAGGGGGGCACCTCTCAATAGAACATGTATGAAACACATAATTATGCAAGTTACTAAACACTGGTGCTGTGAAACACTATGTCATCATCATATCCAGTGACCTTCAGTACCCGTAGTGAGGGAAGTCTGGACAAAAATATTTAAAATGTGGAAGGCTTCTGCTGTTTTCATGTTTATTAGTGTTTGTTCATGTAATGGAGAAGTTCCCAAACCCAATTCAGCCAAAGCCCTTTGACATAAAATATTTACGTGAAATATCTCTGAGGAAATGATATTTCAATAACTTTACAACTATTTGCATATTTACAGTTAATGGTCACATTGACATGGTTGTTTAATAGTTAAAGAAATATTTTTTTATCATTATTTTTTGTGTTGAATCTTCTAAATTATTTTTTTATTTGCATTTTTATTATTTAATTAATCATTAGCTTTTTATCAACTCCCACTGCAGTTCTTATATTAAGCGCAGTTTGGGGAACGTAATGTAACGTGTAATGTAATGTTTAATACATTTTATGATGTTGATATCTAAAAATAGAATATATTTTCTTTCTCTTTGTTTTTTAAATATGGTACGTTTAATGGAAAGGTTGTAATTTTAATGGTAAGAGGTAAGTTGACTGGTCATGTAGCATCCTTTTATGGTGAAGTTAAGCATTAATAGTATTGTTTATGTCTTGCGTCTGAAAGAGGCAGAAGCTCTAATTACGCATGACATTTGGTACTTGCACCTGGGCACAATTTTAATATTTTCAGCTTGAAACGATGATGCTCTACTTGAGCACATGCTTTGCATCAAGAACTAATATTAACAGTGCATTTCTCAATTGTTTCCAAGTTTTACTAAATGGTAATTAGACATGATACGTTAATATGGTTTGCCCTTAATGACAAGCAAAAAATATATACTGTATATAAAAAGAAAAAAAAATTATACACACACACACACACACACACACACACACACACACATATATATATATATATATATGATTTTTTTTTTCAGCGTGTAGTCTTTAGAAAACAGGAACAGAAAGTTTCAAGTTATCAACAGTGGTGTTTTACTCTGAAGGACCTTACGTAAAGACGGAAAGCCTGTGACTAATTGCTTACTGTCTTGTGTTGCTTAGACTGCTGACATGCAATGTGTCATATGGGACACATACAGCTAATTTGAAAGCCACCCCCAAATAGTAGTTCCTATTTTTTGCCAGAAGAGTGTTGTTGTCACCATCTCTTATTACTGAATTTTGTAATAGACATCTGACAGTCTGAGAACTAACCATGTGCCTCCCATCTGAGATCACTAATTATATAACCGTTTGGAAAAAAGAAAAAAATGAAAGAAAATGAACCTTTAAAATATCATATATAGCATAGCCTATGCCTTAAACAGCTAACGTGACATCCAAGACTTGGTATATGTAGGTAAGCAATGTGTGTTGAGACGGTTTAAGTGGATCAAATTCATAACGATGTGGTAATATTTTATGTACCACCTATATATAGGCAATGTGTGTGTATATATATACAGGGCCATCCTTAGGGGGGTGCAACTGATGCGGTCGCACCGGGACCCACGCTTGAGGGGGCCCAGCGGCAAACGGACCGAGGAGGACAACCCACATATAATACAATATAATATATATACATATATTAAAAAACATGTCTCGAGACTTTATGGCGGTTTTTCCCCATCCCACTGCATCTCATGTTTTTAAATGAAAAAGTACTCATTGTGATTGGTTTTCGGTCCTTTGTATTAACTACATAGCCTGATGCAAAACAGACATGATGCTGTTTTGTTTATATTTGTTTAGAAAACTTAATTAATTATATATGGTTTATAAACATTATAACACATTAAACATTATGCACTTTTTTCAAAGATAGGGGTGTTATTTTATTGCTTTGAAGAAAGGTGCATTAGTAATATTTTGCTCGATGTGCCCTCTTGTGGCCTCAGGAGAGAAGCCAAAAGCTTTTTTCCCTAACTGAAATTATGCCTTTTAAATTAGAATATAATTCGAATATTGATAATATTTAAGTACAAAATTCAAATGTACTTTTTCAGCTATTTTGACAGCCCCAGTATAGCTTACCAAAATGTATCATGTCTGATGTAATTGCTCAATCAGTGTTTCAACCGCGGAAAGATGCCAATAAAACAGACTGTGAACAGTATGTCACTTTACGTGGCATTTACCTCAGCAAAGTTATCCACTGTTCACAGTTCATTAGTTAGCTAAAACAATACTAAAGAGGAGTTTTTTTTCCTTTTTACTTATAATTATATATGTGTTTGAATAAATCTGGCATGAAGACAGGTATGTGCAAATGAGTTGTAAACAGACATTTCGATTTTTGAGTGTATATGATATCTGAAAATAAATAGCAGTTGAATATAATAAATCTGTTGTTAATTTTTTAATTACATTTTGGTTTCACATTGATAGAGGCATAACAGACACTGTACTAGATCTATGAGATTATGAAAGAAAAAAAATCATGAGAACTCTGTGGCAGACACTGTACTAGAGCTACGAGATTATGAAAGAAAATATTTAATGAGAACTCTGTAGCAGACACCGGAGATTATGCAAGTAAAAAAAAAAAATCATGAGAACTCTGTGGGTGTGTATGTCAGGAAGTGATTAAATAAGTTCTAAATAAGTGTGTAAATGTGTAAGTGGTGATCACTGAAGAAGTCGTCTTAACACGACACTAGTGTGTCTGTCATGCTGAACCACAGCGAATCCAGTCTAAACTCCACCAGCTGGACTACAGCTAACCTGGTCAGCGGTGGTCTGATGGGTCTCTTCTTCGTGGTTGGAGTCCCTGGTAATATTGCAGTAATTGTTTTCATACTTCATCATTTCAAAAAGGACAATTTCACCGTTCATCTGATGCTGAATCTGGCAGCTGCGGACATCTTGTGTTTGATAACCCTGCCTGTGTGGATCTACAGTGAGCTAGAGAGCATTGACAAAGTAACCTGCAAGTTTTTCACAGCACTCGTCTACTACAGTGCATACTCAAGTGTGATAACAGTAACTGTGCTGAGTGTGTATCGTTGTTTACGGATTCGACATCCACAGTTGTGGTCTAGAATGAGCAAGAGAAGAGAGAGGGCACTGCTGATCAGTGGTTGGGCTCTGGCGCTGCTTTTCTCTTGTCCTGGTGTACTTGCACAAGAGATCATTCAAAGTGGATCCAAAATGGAGTGTGAAAGAAACCTGGAGTCAAAAGACAGTCGTATTGTTGCTCTACTGGAGTCATTGCTTGGATTTTTTCTTCCTTTCACAATCATGCTGACTTCATATTATTGCTTATACAAAACAGCCACACAGGGAGCATTCAGATGCAGACACAGACCGACTAAACTGGTCACACGGATTGTCATAGTTTTCTTCATTTTTTGGGCTCCACACCAAATAATTAAATTAGAGGAAATCTGTGCAAAATTTGTAGGATCAGAGCCAATTCTATCTCTTGTCAGTGACATTGCTGGAAGTCTTACATTCATCAACAGTTGTGTGAATCCATTCCTCTATGCTTTTTCCTCAAGGAGTTTACATAAACGCTAACAGCCAAAGGAGTACATGGTAACTAAAGGCTCACAACATTTACAGAGGGATCATTCCATAGCAGTGAACAGCTGACTAGTAAAGCCTAACACCTTGCACTAAACAACCATGTCATCTCAACATATGCAGTAGAAACTGGACAATGATAGAAGCATCTTTTAAAAATGCATTTTGATGAATATCAGATAGCTAAATACATAGCGTTTTTGATGAGTTTAATGCTTTAATTTCTCTCTAATTGCATCTAATCACCACTGTAATGCAACAGTGATTATCACTTTGAACTACAGTGCATAAATGAAAGTAATGTCTGAACAACACATGATCATAGTGGGTAATTAGATGCATGCTAAGTGGGTAATGTTAAGATGCTTCTTTATTGAAATGTAAAATGCATTGTTTTGTGATTTGATGTATCAGTCATCAACCCTCTACCGCACGCATTATGATAGACCTATAGAAAAAAAAAAGTATTTTCTAAGAATGGCTTAACTTGAAGTGCTGTAAAAAAAAAAATTGGGAAAAAATATTATTTTAAGGTACTTTATGATATGTTGCCATACGGCAACAGCATACAGTAGTGGATCTAACTTAGAATAAGTGTAAGCTTACTTATAATTAATATTTTTCCTCAGAAATTTTGTTTGTGTTGATTCAATTGGTGCTATTATAAGCTTTAACACAGTACTTCCTTATAATTGACACCTTATACATACTTTCCAACAACTTGTGCTTTTATTTATTCTATTCTTTTTTGCTGAATAATGATTTATAATTGTTTTAATTTCATTACATTTTTCTTGAATATTATTTAAACTGCAAATTTATACAGTTAAAATAAATAGAATACTGTATATAAATATAGCATTATGCAATCTCTTGAGAGGAAGACTATGAACATGAGTTGTTCAACACTGATGTAATGTTACCTGTATTCATATTTAATCAAAAGTAAAATTGCCATTTCAATGTGATTATATCCATAATACAAATTCCATTAACATACGACTAATCAACATTATTTCACTAGTATTAATGTTGTTATTGTTCCAGCTTAACAAATTGCAGCTGACCTTGCTAGCTAGCTAAACTATTGTAATAATGTCATTCCACTATTGCACAGTGTTGCCGCTTGGCAACACATACATTTGAATGATTTACCAAAAACTAATTTTATAAAACCTTTTTTGAGAGGTGAATATGTCATCATAACATTATAATTAATTTTTTGTAGAAGTGACACGGACTGGTCCTTGTTTGTTACTGACCTTTTAGTTTGCTTTCAACAAGAGACGGCAGTCTGTCAGAAATCTCATGTGATCTCATGTCATGTGACTTAATCGAAGCAGATCATTGGCTAAACTAAGGTCTTCTCTTTCCAACAAAAACGAGAATGTTCTCTTAAAGAGACAGTGGCAAGGAAATCGTAACACTGGGTGTAATGGTGCATTGATTAATAACACAAATCAGGAAAAAATGCAGTAAGACTAAAGGAAGTGCATTACATAATGCCTTCAAAAGTGCCAACCTTCTTATAGATTGAGCCATTTTTTTAATGGACTGCCAAAATCAGCAAAAACAAGCCACCCATACTTGCATGTGATCGATTTTGGCTTAAGAACATGTAATTTAGTTTTGTTCAGCCCTTAATTGTTAAAGCCCTTAAATGCCAGTGTGTAATCTCGTTTCCATCTATTCAAAGCTTCTATCTGGCCTCAGGGGCGGATACAGATTCTTCAGTCTCAGTCTAGTCTCCGTGTTCAATATATTGTGAGTTTGGGACTCATTCCTCAGAGAACTGCTGAGACCTCTGATCGCTCTGACATACACTAAGCAGAGACTGATGGCAGTGGTCGGCATGATAAATAAGGATCTTGGTCCAAACACCCACTCACTCGGATAAACAAGATTTCTGCTGAGCTTTTTCTCTGGGATGTACCCTAATAACCATCTATGCGACACAAGCATCTTTTATGTTTCTGTCAAAGCTTTGAGGTTTTCAATGCAGTTGACAAAGAGAAAAGGGCAGCAAATTGCAATTAAGTTAAAACATCGACAGTTTATTTGTCAATACATATTTTTCTTCAGTAATAATGGACTGAAATACTGCTCTTATATAGTGAAAACGTTCAAAGAATTTTCATACCACTCAAACATACATAAAGGCAAGTGACACAGGATACATAAACCAGTAGTCAAATGCTCTGAAGCAAACTGACAACAGGTTCAAAATGAAAAACAAACTACATAAAGTTCAGATAAATGTGTATACTACATAATCTTTCAAAATAAAAACACTTGCATAACAGCTTCTAGATTCACTTTTATGTTCATAACCAACAACATCTACAACACTCTATTCAACCCACATCCTGAAATAATGACATGCAGTTAGTTCAGTACCTTACTGTATGATGTTAGAGGATTTTGACCTTCAATTATAAGCTGTGGGATATATATATATATATATATAAAACATAATATATCCCAGACAAAAACAATCCTATGTTAGCAAGACTGGGCTTGTATGGCAGTCTAAGTAATGCTGACAGGAGTGTGTGGTGCATTAGCTGACAGAACATGGGTCATCTTTACTGGGCTTCACCTCTCCCTGCAGCAGCTGGATCATTACTGCCTTGGTCAGGTAGCTGCACGTGCCTCGTTTCCCCAGGGCTGGTGTGTTGTAGAAGGCCTCCATGGTATCCTGTGGATTATATTTACCTTAGTAACATCACCACAAGATGCTAATGCAAGCAGACATGCTATTCTAATTCATACTGGCTGCTGTGCTTTAAAATGCATCAAATAATAGGGCTCTCTTTTAATTACATGATATGCTGATTAATGGCTTCCACTTTATCTAAATTCAAATCCTGTCTCAAAACTCATCTCTTTTCCTTGGCTTTTGACATGTAGTCGTGTTTGGTTCTTTCATGTTTTTAATATGTTTGTTGCTCATTCATTGTGTATTGTTATTCTTTTATTGTGCAGCACTTTGGTTGGCCGTGTCCGTGCTTAAACGTGCTTTAGAGATAAACCGAAATTGAACTTAATGAATTGTGAATATGAATATTTACTGAGAAAAGCCACCAAACGAAGATAATTCAAAGACATTACATAATTGTGAAAGGTGAAAAGCAGTGAATAGACATTAAAAAAAAGGTGTATTTAGTCAATATTGTTTGTTTTACTACAATGCACAGTACTATTTAAAATAAGTTTTCTTTTTTTTTAAAGAAACTAAAACTTTTATATTGCAAGGATGCATTAAATTGATCAAAAAACAATAAAGGCATTTATAATGTTACAACAGATTTAAAATAAATGTTCTTTTGAACTTTCTATTCATCAAACAATCATGAAAAATATGCAGTTTCCTCAAAAATATTGAGCAAAACAACTGTTTTCAAATCAGCATATTAGAATGATTTCTGAATGATCGTGTGATACTGAAGACTGGAGTAATGGCTGCTGAAAATTCAGATTTGCCATCAGAGGAATAAATTACATATAAAATATATTAAAATAGAAAACATTCAAAAAATGTCAACAGTATTTCTGATCAAATAAATGCAGCCATAAGCGTTTTCAAAAACATTTAGAAATTGTATTTACCCCAAACTTTTGAATAGTAGTGTATATTGATCCAAACATTAACTGAACTAAAAAGCTTTCACATATTAAATCTGCCCTCACCTGTTTCTCAGATCCATCCAGTCTGCTGCGGTCTTTCTGAAAGTCAGCATAAGCATCCTTAACCAACCGGTCCAAATCCACAGCCTCCTGAAACTCCAACTCTGGGTTTCTTTCCAGCACAACTGACACCACCATCAACAGCTGCATTCAGGTCATGAAAGACACAAAGACACAGGGTCAAACAGCAGGTGAATGATATGTCAGATTACAAATTCAAGCATTGCAAAATAGGTTAAGGCTGCGGCAGGACCAAATTGTGCCTAACCTCCACAATGATCTGCCTGTACTCAGGCAAAACAATGTTCTTGAATGTGTCTTCCACCAGCAAGGAAAAATTCATTTCATACATGGTCATATCTGATAGAGTAGGTTGCTGCAAAAGAGTGAAAAGACTGAGGTGGTCATCTCATACTGCAGATATTCTGAACACATTTACAATGATGCAATTATTTATCCAGGCCTATAGGTCCTCAACAATACCATGCTTAATATTTTCAAAAAATGTTTAAACGATTTAGAAGAGTTACCTGAGGGAGATGTTTTCCTCCAACCGTGATGCCATTCCGTGTTCTCTCCAGGATTTGCCAAACACGGTCATAGAAGCCGAGAGGGGTGCGGTTGAGGGAGCCATCGATCTGACGTCTATTGAGCCATGATCTATGGAAGTATGGAGGATTAAAATTAATCCTCAAAACTGTTGCAATGGAGAAATCATTGAATGCTAAATCTGAAGCAGGATTCTTTTGGGAAAAAATTAATTTTTCTTTTCAAAATTTTATGTCAGTAGAATTGTTTTATGCTTTTCGAAAGAAGCCTTTTATGCTTAACAAGACCACATTTATTTGATCAAAAATTCAGTAAAACAGTAATATTGTGAAATATTATTACAATTTAAAATAAAATTAAAATTTTTAAAAATGCACATTTTAAATATAATTTATTCCTGTGTATGTATATATATATATATATATATATATATATATACACACATTTTTTTCTTTAAAAAAGTCTTACTGAGCCCAATTTTTTTTTTCAGCTCTAGCCTGACATTGTGAAACAATAAACTAATACACCATTACAACTCTGTTATCAGAAGACCATATTCTCTTACTTCTTACTTGATAATTAACCTCAGCTGCCCAATTAAAAAGGGTTAGGATTAATCAAATGATGATAAACTGTATACTACTGTTGTGTTTGGACACAGCAGATAATTCAGTCTTGGCAGGTATCTAGAGTAACACACAGATGGTGGGCATCCTGCACCTGCCAGTCTGCTGAGGCTGGAGAACATCCAGCAGGAG